ATGTATAATTGGCTGTGTTACAGATACAGTTCCAGCAAGATGGTTCATTGAGAAGTTGGGAACAGCTGAACACATCGTTCTGATTTTTTCCGAAGGAACCAATGCCATTCTGGGTGGACGAACTTTGATCCAGCGGCAACCGTTCCCGGAATTTTTCCCTACTGCTATCAATTTTTTAATCTCGGTAAGCGGACATTTGTACTAAAAAATATAGAAAATCTACAAAATTAGATCCATAAGCATTTTTGCGGAGTTTGCAGGAAATAGTGAAGTTTTTTTTGAAAATTTTTTGAAAAATGTAAACTATGGATGTTTGTTTGGCACTGTAGGCCGGCCAGTGAAAGGGACATAGTCGAATATTGTCAGTTGTGGGAAAGCAGTGAGTGCTAATTTAGATGTCCAGATAAGCGAGCCTGTATGTGCATTAGTTATTGTCCGTTCTGTGTTTCATCTCTAAACTTTAAACACAGACGGCAAAGTCGGTGCAGAATGGGGTTGGAATCATCAGTACAGTGCCCCACTCCGCCATGTTTTGAACAAATATGTGACTTTTCGAAGGAAGATGAAGGAGGAAAGAAAGGATGTGGAGGTGACGGTACGTGAACCTTAGTCAAACTGGTTTTTCAAGTTTTTCGTTCCTCCTTCCGGATTGCCAACGTTCAGTCATTGCTCCGATTTGTCTCTGTTTTTCGTACAGGGGGGAATGGAGCGCGATTGTAAGTATTGGGTGCTAGTAACGATCTTGCTCGCAGTCCGAGAACGACCCGTGGATCAAGCGTGCACAACCCCACGATCCGGATCTTGGAACGATGCAGTGAGTTGAGGGCACTGGGCGTGAATCACCAGAGTAGCGTAGCCGACGCAGCGTAGACCGGCATAAACTGGAAATTCCCGGGTATCAGCCTCGACGAAGGAAACGTGAGGACCGTGCTGACCGTTTGACCCCGGTCAGCATTAACTGAAGATATTTAAGACCCTAGAGCTCCTAACTTATTGTGAACGTTTTGTTGTTTTCCTTGTTCTAATTTTTTTTAATTTTAATTTTAGTTGGTATATGTTTATGAAAGATTGTAAGGAAATAAAAATGGGGGATGTGAATAAAATAAGATTAAAATCTGAATGGGAATGTTTCGGTCCATCAAGTGTTCTAACTTATGTCACACAAAGTACACAGCAGTAAGAGTCTAAAGGACAGGAGCTTCTTCTTCCCAATCCCCACCCTTATTTTAAGTTTTCTCGGTTGTTTCGGGTTTTTCAGGAATGCAACAAGGATCTGACTGGACAGCCTGTGATGCCATCTCCAAAAGTAAGCACACGCTTTGCTTTCGCCTATTTCGTTTATTCGCCCCCTTCTGCGATTCCTGCAGAGCTAAAGGCTTTACCCGTGAACATTTTTAAGATACCTGCGCAGGTTTGTTTCTTTGTACTGTTAGGATACATTCCTGTAAAGGAAATATACTCGTTTGTTTAGTTTTAGAAATTCTCTGACCGAGTATTTGCGTTTTTACTTTCTTAGAATAACTGGTTTTTTTTCTGTGGTACCTTCTTTCCACGCCAGGATTTTTTTAAGTTTTCATGTCTGTTTCAAATTTTTGTGATCGAAGCTGATACATAACCTTCATGGTCTGCGTTTTTTTGGTTTTGGCCGTGGCATTTGATTTTTTGTCCCCCTCCTCTTTGTTCTCAGCAGGAGAAATGCTCCGGATCACTTTTTTTTGGTTCTTTCAAATGACTAATTAGTACTCCTTGAAATCTCCACAAGCTAATATATTTAGGACGCGAGCGATTTGGGACTGCTGTGTTAAGTTTAGTCAACAAACTAAAATCCCCTCTGCATTCATTCGTAAGAACAAGCAGGGGATCGGGAAGTAATCCGCAAAATTCCAGCCTTCTATCTTCCAAAATTCCCGAAATAATGTCACCTATAAGAAATGTACGAGGAGCTAGTCTTATAAAAATAGATCAAAGGAAGCCGAACTCCAGATGTGGGATTATCTTCAGCTATACCAAAAAATGGCCGTGTTGCGTTTTAATGGTTTATGCTTAAATTTTTTTTTGTCTTGAATTTAGGTAGATAAATTGATTTCCTGGTTGCATAATCAACCCCTAAATGTGCCTTTGGATATCCATGTTGATATTTCGCAACTGCAAAGTGCGATAAATGAATTTCTGCAATATCGTCGAGAAAATCCTGGATGGTTAGCAGAACGACTGCAGTTGATGCATGAGGTTTATTTTGCTTTAACATTAGGCTGTATTATGTAGTAATCGTTGTAGCGTGTATAGAGAGTAATTAGAGTAACTAGAGAGCAGGA